CTCTGAGTCGGTGGTTATTGTGGCATCAGCTACAAACAGCAGTTCTTTGATAAGTACATTTTTTATCCTGGTTTTACCCTTCAGCCAGCCAGCATTGAAAAGTCTGCCATCAGATCGAGAATGGATGAATATACCACCCCCCTGACCTTGAAAGGCATGTTCCAAAAGAACTGAGAAGTATATTCCAAGGAGGGTTGGGGAAAGTACACACCCCTGCTTCACTCAATTTTTTATTACAAACTCCCCCGATGTTACATCCTCAAAGTTGATTGCACCTTTCATACCTGTGTGGAACGACTCAGTTTTGCTCAGTAGGGTAGGTGAATACCCAGTCTTTTTCTTTAGTGCGTTTAAAAAAACATTTCGAGTAACCAAATCAAGATGCCTTGGTAAGATCAACAAAAGCAAAATACAGTGGTTGATTTTGTTCGCGGCATTTTTCCTGCAACCGTCGTAATGAAAATATCGTATCAGTGGTAGACCGGTTCCTACGAAAGCCACACTGTGACTCTGGGTAAACCCGGTCTCCCAGGATCTTGAGCCTTCGCAGACCAATTCTCGCAAGTACTTTTCCAACAGAACACAGCAGTGATATTCCACTGTAGTTATCGCAATCACTCCGATCACCCTTGTTCTTGTACATAGTTGGTATGTTTAAGTACTTGGTTACCCTGATAACATTAGATGGAAGATGTATTGAAACAGTTAATGTAGAATAGCTTAAGCAAAGGCAGCATTTTACAAAATGAAGAATCTTTCTTTGTCAATTGAGACGAGAAAGAGAATTCCTAAAAGCTATGTAAATCCTAATTTAGTATACGGAAGTGAATCATGGACATTAGGTAGATTAGTGAAAAATTATTTGGAAGCTGTGGAGATGTGGTTGTGTTGACGAATGATGAGACCACCATGGACAAGTAAAAAGAGTAATGAAGATGTCTTTAAAATAACTGACTCACGAAGAGAACTGATTGCCCACATCAGAAAGACACAATCTACTTTCTGTGGTCACGTGATGAAAAGGAGAAAACTAGAGTACATCGGGACAGCAGGAAAGTTGGAGTTGAAGGGAGGCAGACTAGGAAAATAAAAGAGGATGAATAGTTTGAAATCATGGCATGGAGGATCATCCGCATCAGAGCTGATTAAAAGTACACCAGATAGAAGGTTGTGGATAGACATGACTACCAATGCCACACGGCATGGACTTTGAGAACAAGAAGAAAAAGTCATAAATAAGGATAATAGCATAATAATAATTATCATTATGTTCTGAATGGCACATACATATAATAATATTTAGGGTGACCATAGGTCCCGTTTTCACTGGGACAGTGCCGTTTTTTTTAGGTCTGTTTCCACCGTCCCGAAAAAACGTGAATTGTCCCGTTTTGTAAAATATCTATGAATTAGTTCCAGAATCCACCCCTAGAACGGCTATTTCAAATGCCTCAGATGTGTTGATGCGAAGTTTGATTGCAGCTTTTCAATGCAGCTAAGGAGCGCATTGTTTCGTTTATCTCTTGGCAACGATTGTTGAGAGATAAATTAACCCTTTAAACCCAGTGACCTAAAAAGAGGGAGGGGGTAGGGAAGGGGGGTTAAACTGACTTGCTTGGGATGTCCCGATTTCAGCTCAAAATTTAAGCAGGGTGTCCCGTTTTCAGCTGAAGATATTAAGCTCGCAATAATAACATATTTAAACTAAAATGAAATATATAAACAAACTCATAACAAGAGAATGCCTATACATGGTTAGGGGTACCCCCTTCCACAGTCTCCTTGAACATTTTCTAATGGGTCACCCCCTGCATTAAATATTTCTTATCGGTTGGGGTGGGGGGGGGGGGGGGCCGCAGTGTGCTTGAGTACGCTTAGATCCTGGCTTCCCTGACTGACAGCCTGTGATTCTGAAAGACCAGCTCCTCACAGAAGTCAATCGTCACTTAATCATGTGTTAAGTCTTATTGATCCAGTTCATTTCAGTTGCCTTTCATGGAACATTAGCAGCAGCGAGGGCTTGAATAACTTTGTTAAATTTGCACCGTATTTTTTTATTTTTTTAAATAGTGAGGTCTTTGAAATAAACAAACAAAGAAACAGTCTTAATGTAAAAGTAAAGTAAAAGTAAAGATCCATTTACCAAGCTATATTCTATAGACCAGGCGACACTTGATGGGTGATGTGGTCAGCATCAGACTGGTCGTCTTTACTTCCCAGGAATGTACCTGGTACCGTTTCAAGGCTGGGTCGACCTGGGAAGTAAATTTTGAAAAAAATCCGGCTTTGTCAGGATCCGAACCTATAACCTTCTGATCTGCAGGCGAGTTTCTAGCTGCTACACCACGGTGGTTCCCAGTTTTAACTCTTTCAGTACCAATCAACTCACCATACGTTTATTGATTACTTAGTACGGGGTATACATTTCTTGACCCGTTCCCTTCAGTTCTTCTATTCTTCTAACATTGGTTCATTCTTTTGCAGTTGTTATTTTTAACTCTTCTGTCTCATAGTTATGTTAGCTAATGTCCTTAAAATGTCAAAACTATTACTATAAGTTAGGGCTGTACCAAATATTCTCTTCGTATTCGCTTCGGGGCCGAATAGTGGACCTAATAACTATTCGGCTTTCGGCCGAATGGTTGCGGTCGGGCCGAATACGAATAGTGGTTTCCTTACTCCCGTTTCTGCATACACTGTGATGGACTGAAATAACTCTCTCGTCAACACAAAAGTAAAAGTTGCTGTTGCCTATGCGTTTATTGATTACTCAGTACGGGGTATCCATTTCTTGACCCGTTCCCTTCAGTTCTTCTATTCTTCTAATATTGGTTCATTCTTTTGTAATTGTTATTTTAACTCTTCTGTCTCATAGTTATGTTAGCTAATGTCCTTAAAATGTCAAAACTATTACTATGAGTACACACACTTCACAATGGACAGCATTGAAGCAACAAACTTCTGGGACTGAAGAAGTTAAGGTGGTGTTTCAATTTCTCCTGTTCCTTGTTGTTCTTCCAGGGGTTAGGGGCGCCGAAATATGTGAGCTTGATTACACTGAATCGCATGGATTTATGATTTTAAGCTGGATTAGGGTAAATGGATACATCGCTTGAAGGTAGAAAAAGGAACATGGATACATCAATTAAAGATGGATTAGGAAACATGGATTCACCACTTGAAGGTGGATTATGAAGTATAGATAAACTACTTGAAAGTGAGTTAGGGAACATGGAAACATCATTTGAATGAGGGATAGGATTCGTGGATCATTGAAGGTAGAATAGAGAATGTGGATATATTACTTGAAGGTGAAAAATGGAAACGTGGTTACAACACTTAAAGGCGGATTATGGAAATAAATACACAACTTGAAAGAGGAACTAGGAAACATGGATACATCACTTGAAGGTGGATCAGAGAACATGGATATACCACTTACAGTTGGAATTGGTAACGTGGATACATCACTCAAAGGTTAAACAGGGAACCTGGGTGCATCACTGGAAAGCGGAATATGGGACGTGGATATGTCACTTGAAGCTGGAATATTGATAATGGATATATCACTTGAATGTTGATTATGGAACATGAATGTATTAGAGGAGCATGGATACATCACTTACAGATGAATTATAGAACGTGGATATTCCACTTGAAGGCGGATTATGGAAATGGATACCACAACCTGAAAAAGGATTAGGGAACATTGATCCATAACTTGAAGTTGGATAAGAGAACAGGGATATACCACTTACAGATGGATTAGGTGACGTGGATACATCTCTTAAAGATGTATTGGGGAACGGGGTTACATCACTTGAAGATGAATTAGGGAACATGGATACATCATTTGAAGATGGATTAGGGAAAGTGTATACATCATTTAAAGATGGATTAGGGAAAGTGGATACGTCTTTTGAAGCTTGAAATGATTAATGAGTATAAAAACGCATTCTAGATTTTTTCGGGTGTGGGCGAGGAAGAGGGGAGGGGGGTTCTAAACTGACTTGATTTTGGGATATCCTGTTTTCTGCTCAAAATATTATAAAGATGTCCCGTTTTCAGTTCAAAATATTAGTGAGATGTCCCGTTTTCAGCTCCACATATTAGTAAGATGTCCCGTTTTCAGCTCAAGATATTACGGCCACTCTACACAGGCCTAAACCTGACGCCATCAAAACTTCTTTCTCACTCTTCAAACATCAAAATTACCCATCACTGCTCTTTTCGAGGTTTCACAAAGAGTAAACCACTCGACAACTATAACCGGTTTTTTTCCCCCTTTCAAAATTCTCCCTCAAAATTTCTTCCGTTCAACGTATAGTTAAGAATATCAAACAGAATATTAAAAAAAAAAAAAAAAGTATTCTTTTCATTTTCCAGATTTACCCACCCGCCCTGTCTTCACGGGCCTGGATTGGCCCGCCACCGGCACCACATGCGGGCTCCACGGGCCGTTATTGGCAGCCGTTGTGCTCGGCGAGATCCGATTGGCTGTTGCGAGCTGGAGATTAATTTACAGAAGCTCTTGCCTAATGCTATTTATGCGGAGGTCGTGAGGTAAGGCATCCCAGTCAGTTAGCGTGAGCAAGCTTTCAGCGATCGTGCGGCTCATCTACGCGTGTTGCCTTCTGGAATACCGCTTAAAACGATTGTGTAAAGCACCGAAAAGATAAAAGTTGGAGTTTTACCTAGCTCTTATAGTTCTCGCTTTTATTTTTGTCTGTGTTTTGTTGTTTGAGTTTGCTAGAGATTAAAATTAATTATTACTATTTTTAAAATGTTATTTCTAAATGCAGGTATATACTAAATGCGTGTAGGAAAGTAGCTTAATTGTTTTGATATCCTTTTCTTTGTATCCATTTCATGCTTCAGTGGTGATAACCGCATCTACGGCTTCTAACTGTGGTAACTTGGTATTGAAACCGTGTGATCTAGTGACAGTGCAGAACAAAGGAATACTGCCCTACTTCGCGCTACCCACCAGCTGCAGTGGTATGGCCCAAAGCTGCAGCCAGAGCAGTTATCCGTTGTGTGCCCCCGTTATGGTAAGTGTGCTATTACGTTCAACTTCGTTATTACCATTTCAGTTTTTCTTCTTTCTTCTTCTTCTTCTTCTTCTTCTTCTTCTTCTTCTTCTTCTTCTTCTTCTTCTTCTTCTTCTTCTTCTTCTTCTCCTTTCTTCTTCTTTTCTTCTTCTTCTTCTATCTTCTTCTTCTTCTTCTTCTTCTTTTTCTCTTTTTCTTCTTCTTCTTCTTTCTTCTTCTTCTTCTTCTTCTTCTTCTTCTTCTTCTCTTCTTCTTCTTCTTCTTCTTCTTCTTCTTCTTCTTCTTCTTCTTCTCTTCTTCTTCTTCTTCTTCTTCTTCTTCTTCTTCTTCGGCTTCTTCTTCTTCTTCTTCTTCTTCTTTCTTCTTCTTCTTCTCTTTTGTTCTTCGTCCTCTTGGTGCTAACTGGCAGCCCAGTCTAGTGGTATTTCAGTTCTTGTTTTATTTATTTTGCTTAGGTTGTTTAACCAGCGCGTCGTGTGGCTGCAACTTGTGGGCATGGTGTGCGTAATGAAACAGAGAATAAGTTAATAAAAGACCAGAAAGAAATGAGTAATAAGATAACGATTTAAATAAGTAAAAATATCAATACATAAGAAAGTAATAGGACAAGAAATCAGTAAGTAATAAGACAAAGGATAGTTAACTATAGGAAAAAGTAGGTTATAAGGCAAGGAATACGTGAGTGATAGACGAGGAATAAGTGAGTAATAAGGCAGTGCATAGCTGAGTGATAAAAAAAAAGCAATTAGTTAACTAATAAAACTATTATTGAATAAATGAAAAGACAAGGAATACTCAATAATTTGGCTAAGAATTACTAATTAAAATACAAATGAATACAAAGGACTTAACAAAAATAATGGCTTAGTAAGTAAACGATGAAAAAGTAAGGCGCACTTTCAGTTTACTAAAACTAAACTTTGTGCTGGCCACTTCATATGTTATGGTTTATTATGTAGCTATGGTTTGTGAATCATATAAAAAGGTGAAGTCGGGAGATGTGAACCAGCGTTATTGCACACAGTTATAAACCATAAGTGCTCTGCCACCAGTACGGACAGCTGCCAAGAAAATGTCCGCCTGTGTCGCTGTCCGGCATGCAACTCCGTTGCTACAGCGACGTTCCTCCATTTACCCCAGAGTGTTAAGCTAGGTGAACCCCGTGAACCGCCCGGTTTCGAACACCGGCCGTGGCTGCAGCGAGTCGCAGCTGGATTTGAAAGCGAGTCTCCTATCGACTGCGCTAACGCGGCCCGATGTGAAAACATATGCAATGAATAAGCAAAGGGAGAAGGAATAAGTACCTAATAAAACAAACAGTAAGTAAACGATAAGAAAACTATACATCCATAATAAGGCATGGAAAAGGTAAATAGGTTAGTAACTAGAAATAAAATAAGTGAGAAATAAGTATGCAATAAAACAAGGAATAAGTGCGTAATAATACAATCAGTAAATGAGTAAAAATACCAAGAATAAGCATATTAGTAAAGAAGAGTAAGGTAAGAATTAAGTAAGAAATAAGATAGGAATGGTAAAGAAAAAAATGTAGGTAACAAGTAAAGTGACAGATATGTGTAATAGATACTTATTTTATGCTGAAAATTGCGAACAAGCTCTCATCACTTAAAGCTAGAAAGAAAAATGAGGATTTGTGTCGCACCAGGAAATATGCACTAATGATTTTCTAAATGAACTGGTGTAAACGAAGAACCTGTGGCTGCTGCTGCTGTTGTGCTTCTTCTTCTTCTTCTTCTTCTTCTTCTTCTTCTTCTTCTTCTTCTTCTTCTTCTTCTTCTTCTTCTTCTTCTTCTTCTTCTTCTTCTTCTTCTTCTTCTTTTTCTTCTTCTTCTTCTTTTCCCTCTACTCCTCAAATGTCTCGCACCGTCAGGACAGGAAGAGATCTTTAAACCAGACTCTCCTGTTTCCTCCGTACGTAATAATTGTCAATGTCTCTTGATATTTCTGCGGTCCATTTCTGCGTGGTCGACCTCTTGTATCTTTTACCGTTGTATCTGTATAACAGTGCTCTCTGTGGTACCCCTTCCGGTGTCAATCTTGCTACATGGTCTTAATACTTGATCTGTTGTCTATCTATATAGTTCAGTACTGGTTGTGTGCCGACTTTCCTTCTGATATCGTACCTTAAACGTGTGACTAGTGGTGACAAATGCATGAAATGTGAGCAAACTAGGGACGATTGATACAGTCAGGGCTTTTCTACTAGAACAGTGATTCTCAACATGTGGGTCGCAACATCGTTTAGTGGTCGAAGGACCCTTTCACAGGGGTTGCCTAAGACCATCGGAAAATACATACTCACTGAAGTTATGAAGTAGCAACGTAAATGATTTTATGGTCGGGGGGTCACCACTACACACGGAACTGTATGAAAGGGTCGCGGCATTAGGAAGGTTGAGAACCATTGTTATAGAAGGCGCCGATGCTCACCATGAAATGTCTTTAACAAATGGTGCTAGTACTCACTACAGATCGTCTATGACAAAGAAGATGAGAAGCTGATGGCCACAAAAGCTCCCTCCTATACAATGTTTTTTTATGCACCACTTAGATGTGAAAGAACACGAAATGGGAAATATGGGTACGAGTTTAGGCTAGGAAACTAGAGCTAGGAAACATCGATACCAAGTTTGAGACTGGCACAGTGAACAGGAAGTAGGAAACATTGATACCAAGTTTGAGACTGGCACAGTGAACAGGAAGTAGGAAACATTGATACCAAGTTTGAGACTGGCACAGTGAACAGGAAGTAGGAAACATTGATACCAAGTTTGAGACTGGCACAGTGAACAGGAAGTAGGAAACATCGATACCAAGTTGAGAGACTGGCACAGTGAACAGGAAGTAGGAAACATCGATACCAAGTTTGAGACTGGCACAGTGAACAGGAAGTAGGAAACATTGATACCAAGTTTGAGACTGGCACAGTGAACAGGAAGTAGGAAACATCGATACCAAGTTTGAGACTGGCACAGTGAACAGGGACTAGGAAACATTGATACCAAGTTTGAGACTGGCACAGTGAACAGGACCAAGTGGGATAGTAGTAAAAAACATTGATACAATGTTTGAGACTGGCACAGTGAACAGGAACTAGGAAACATTGATACCAAGTTTGAGACTGGCACAGTGAACAGGAACTAGGAAACATTGATACCAAGTTTGAGACTGGCACGGTAAACAGGAACTAGGAAACATTGATACCAAGTTTGAGACTGGCACAGTGAACAGGAAGTAGGAAACATTGATACAATGCTTGAGACGCACAGTGAACAGGAACTAGGAAACATCGATACCATGCTTGAGACTGGCACAGTGAACAGGAACTAGGAAACATTGATACCATGCTTGAGACTGGCACAGTGAACAGGAACTAGGAAACATCGATACCATGTTTGAGACTGGCACAGTGAACAGGAACTAGGAAACATTGATACCATGTTTGAGACTGGCACAGTGAACAGGAACTAGGAAACACTGATACCATGCTTGAGACGCACATGAACAGGAACTAGGAAACATTGATACCATGTTTGAGACTGGCACAGTGAACAGGAACTAGGAAACATCGATACCATGCTTGAGACGCACGGTGAACAGGAACTAGGAAACATTGATATCATGTTTAAAACTGGCATATTGAACAGGAACTAGGAAACATCGATACCAAGTCTGAGACTGGCACAGTGAACAGGAACTAGGAAACATTGATACAATGCTTGAGACGCACAGTGAACAGGAACTAGGAAACATCGATACCATGCTTGAGACGCACGGTGAACAGGAACTAGGAAACATTGATATCATGTTTAAAACTGGCATATTGAACAGGAACTAGGAAACATCGATACCAAGTCTGAGACTGGCACAGTGAACAGGAACTAGGAAACATTGAAACAATGCTTGAGACGCACAGTGAACAGGAACTATTAAACATTGATACCAAGTTTGAGACGCACAGTGAACAGGAACTAGGAAACATTGATACCATGTTTGAGACGCACAGTGAACATGAACTAGGAAACATCGATACCAAGTCTGAGACTGGCACAGTGAACAAGAACTAGGAAACATTGATAAAATGCTTGAGACGCACAGTGAACAGGAACTAGGAAACATTGATACTGTGCTTGAGACGCACAGTGAACAGGAACTTGGAAACATTGATACCAAGCTTGAGACGCACAGTGAACAAGAACTAGGAAAGATTGATACCAAGTTTGAGACGCACAGTGAACATGAACTAGGAAACATTGATACCATGCTTGAGACGCACAGTGAACAGGAACTAGGAAACATTCATACCATGCTTGAGACGCACAGTGAACAGGAACAAGGAAACAATGATACCAAGTTTGAGACTGGCACAGTGAACAGGAACTAGGAAACATTGATACCATGCTTGAGACGCACAGTGAACAGGAACTATGAAACGTATATTCAGTACCCCTGTCCAGATTAGGGAATATAAACCAGGAAAAGAAGCCTAATCTAGGACTGAATATCATGAACTAGGAAATACATAGGAGAACTGAGATAGGCTAGATAGCTAGAATTAGGAAACATCATTACCATGCTTGAAACTGGAACAAGAAACAAGAACTAGAAAGTTTACATGAAGCTATAAGGTTGCAGGGACTTAGAGCGAGTTGGTTGAGGGCCTATGCTTCTTTGAGGGATGGAAGGCAGAAAAAGAAGACATCCGAACCAGGAAACTTATGTAAAACTTTAATCTGGATTGAGAAACATGAACAAGGAAAAAGAGAAACGAGCTTTAAAAATTGGGAAAATCCTGTAGAGGTTTGACGTTCGAACAAGGCACAATAATTAGGATATATAAGTAGGAGATGTGAGGCATGGATATGTGGTTGTGCGTGGAAGACGAACTAGAAAACACACAAACCAGACTTGAGGCTGGGCTAGGCGACATGAATGTTGGTTGTACGTGTAAGATGAACTAGAAAACACAAATACCAGAC